TACCAGGTGTAACCAGCATTGAAGTTAATTCCTGCAACAGCCTTGAGCCCCTTCCCAGGGGCCTGTCGCACCCATTCCATGCCGTAGTTGCTGAAGGTGAAGCCGGAGGCCTTGCAGCGGAGGGTGAGGGACCCCCCGGGTGTCACGGTGCCCCCTCCGGACTCCGTCAGCTCCACGGCCGCCCGCAGCCCTGGGGAGGGAGAGAGGAAGGAGACAATTGAGTCACCCCCAAGGTCCCCCCATGGCTCGTCCTCCATCTCCGCGGGCGGGCGGCCAGGAGGAGGAGGATGGAGAAGGGGTCAGATCCATCAGAACAGAAGGAAGTCCCTCACCCTCCGCTGCAAGGCCTCCAGCTTCACCTTCAGCAACTTCCAAATGGAATGGGTGCGACAGGCACCTGAAAAGGGGCTGGAGTGGGTCGCAGCTATTAGCAACAGTGGTGGTAGCACCTGGTACGCGCCGTCGGTGAAGGGTCGCTTCACCATCTCCAGGGACAACTCCCAGAGCACGGTCACGCTGCAGATGAAGGACCTCAAGGAGGACGACACGGCCACCTACTACTGCACCAAAGCTGCTGGTGGTAGTGCTTGGGCTGATGGTGGCCCCGACCCCATCACCGTGTCCCCACATCCCACCATCTCCCCCAGTCCCTTCCCACACTGACCCGGGGTTTGTACCGAGTTTGGACCCTGGCACCAAGCAAAAAACCTTGTATCGACCCCAAATTCTTGCCTTTTGACCCAAATCCCTGCCCTGCAGCCCCTCTGCCAGGGATCTGGTGCCACCTCCACCAGCCCCGGCACAGACTGGGGTCAACAGACACCCAGGACCCTCCCAAGATCCTCCCCCCAAGTCTCGGCCTCCCTGTCCTGAGCCCCAACCTCCCTGCCCCACATCCTAAAATCCCAGCTTCTTCCCCAAAACCTTTGTTTCCAGACAGAACCCCTGAGTTTGGGTTGAGGAGAGGGGTCCGGGGTGGGGACAAAGGGGTGAGGAAGGTGTAAGTCGGGGCACAGGAAGGGTCTGGGCTCTGAGTCGGGGTCTGGGACTCACAGCAAAGGGGGGTTGGGGACAAAGGCAGCTGATATTGGCTGTGAACTGTCAAGATTTGGGCCAAAGCCAGTCAAGAGTGGGGCAAAGAGTCAAGGTTTTGGTCAAAATTGGTCAACATTTTTGCAAACAGTCAAGATTAGGGCCAAAAGGGGTTGAGGGTTGGGGCA